GAACAGGGGGAGCTCCGGGGGCCCCCCCGGGTTGAGGGTGTGATTGTGGGGGGCCTGGTTAAAAGTTCAAGGGGGGGTCTCTGCGTTGGACTGGAGCGATTTTGGCACCGAGCCCTCCAGTCCCGTCCCAGCCGAGTGTTCCCAGGCTGAGGGTTTGGCTTTTCCCTTCTCTCCAGACGTGATGGTGTACGTGGGGGGGTTGGATGAGAAGGTCAGCGGGGGTTTTGGTTTTTCCCTCCTCTCCAGATGCGACGGGGTACGTCGGGGGGTTGGATGAGAAGGTCGTGGGAGCTCTTTCTCCAGGCGGGACCGGTGGTCAACACCCACATGCCCAAGGACCGAGTCACAGGCCAGCACCAAGGTGAGATGTTTGGTGTTCTCCCTCCAGACCTTCCCGTCGGATAAAACGCTTCAGCTGAGGACAGCCGGGGAGGGATGATGTGGGAAGAAAGGTGAGGGGCGGATGATCCTGTGGGGAGATGGTTTTCCTTCCCTTTAAGGCACCCATGGGCTCTCTGGTTTGAAGTCAGGCGGGGCTGGACGAGCTGTGGATCTGCCCTCTCCGAACGCTCCGTTTGGGACCTCCTTGCAGGTTATGGCTTCGTGGAATTCCTCAGCGAGGAGGACGCGGATTACGCCATCAAGATCATGAACATGATCAAGCTGTACGGGAAGCCGATCCGAGTGAACAAAGCCTCGGCCCACAACAAGAACCTGGACGTGGGGGCCAACATCTTCATCGGCAACCTGGACCCCGAGATCGACGAGAAGCTGCTGTACGACACCTTCAGCGCCTTCGGTGTCATCCTGCAGACGCCCAAGATCATGCGAGACCCCGACACGGGCAACTCCAAGGGTTACGCCTTCATCAACTTCGCCAGCTTCGACGCCTCGGACGCTGCCATCGAGGCCATGAACGGGCAGTACCTCTGCAACCGGCCCATCACCGTCTCCTACGCCTTCAAAAAAGATTCCAAAGGCGGGCGGCACGGCTCGGCCGCCGAGCGTCTCCTGGCAGCCCAGAACCCGCTCTCGCAGGCGGATCGGCCCCATCAGCTCTTCGCCGACGCTCCTCCTCCTCCCTCCGTCCCCACTCCCGTTGTCACCTCGCTGGGACCCGGCGTCACCCCTCCAGGTGGGTAGAGTCGTGGCAGTGCCCATCTGGGTGCCACGCTGGTTGGCAGGAGTCTGCTGTGCCCATCCCACGGGTAGCTACTGGATTAGGAAATCTTCTTCCCTCCTTGTGGCAGCTGTCCCAGGGCTGAGCGGAAGGATCCTCCTTCCTCCATCTCCGTTTTTTTTTTTTTAGGATTCCTGGGGGTGTTTGTGCTTTCTCCTCCTTCCCAGTTACCTGGGAGTGAGTTTGTTTTTTTCCTGCTTAACCAAATTCTCACTGTTTCTTCTCCCAGGCCTCCCACCCCCAGGATCGTTCCCCCCGCCAGTGCCGCCCCCTGGAGCGATGCCTCCCGGCATGCCCCCTGCCATGCCACCCCCACCCATGCCGCCCGGCGCGGGTGCCCCTGGACCCCCATCCGGAGCTGCACCCAGTGCGGGGCACCCGCCTCACCCACACCCCTTCCCTCCGGGTGGGATGCACCATCCAGGTAAGGATCAGTCGGGAATCAGGCTCAGGAACGTCGCTGTCTTCTGCTTCCGGGGATTGGGGCTGGGGAATCGCCCCCTCCTCCATCTTCCCTGCGGTTCCCTGTCCGTGAAACGGGGGGAAAAGTGTTGGCATCGTCGGGGGGGGGCGCGGAACGCGGCGTCTTTCCCGGAGCTGCGGCTCTCTGCGGCGCGGGGCAGCCTGGTGCCGGAAAGGGAATGTCTGTGTCGAAGGAAAAACGTCACTGCGCCTGGTTTTGTTCTTTTTTTTCCTCCTGGGTGTTCTAAAACGTGGTAAAAACCAGCCTGGAGCAGAGCCCAGCAGGATTTATGGAGTAATTCGGGAAGCAGCGCCCTTCTGGGAGGCATTGGGGCGGGTCGAGGTGCGAAGGTGCGGGGCAGGCTCCGGCGCGGCGCGGGCTCCGGGGGTCCCGGCTGCTCTGCTGCCTGGGAGGACGTTAACGAGACTCCGAGTCCGTTTTTTCCAGCATAAATTAACACGTGGAGCAGGATCCTTCTCGGCGCAGCCGGGCAGGAGCTGATTCAAGACACGAGAACAAAATGTTTTTTGATTTCTTTCCATTTTTATCCCTGTAGTACTGCGGAACGAGCTGCGTGTCCATCTAGGCTCTGGTTTGGAATGCAAAAATTCAGTGAAATTTGCGATTTAATTTAATTTATTTTGGTTTAATCCTGCCTCCCACGCTGCTGATTAGGGTGCTTTGTGCCATCGTGGCTCTGGCCGTGCGAGTGACCAGATGGCTGCTGCTCGTCCCCGGTGACCAGCTGCTTTCCCAGGATTTAGAGCAGCCAATTAGGCACGGCAAAGGGAAAGCCGACGGAGCGGCGCCGCGGCGCGCGCCCTGCGGGGCCGTTTGGAGCCGCACCGGCCGCTTGGCTTCCTATTGAGGACCAAAAACTCTGTGTTTGGTTCTTTTAAAGGGATAAACCAAGAAAATAATGGAAAAAAAGTAGATTTGGAGGGTGGTGGGCCACTCCTGCTCAGAGCAGGACAAGCTTCCGAGTCGGGTTGCTCAGGGGTTTTGTCCGAAATCTCCAAGGGGGGTGATTTTGCCGTGCGCTTTCTCCTCTTCGACCTCCCTTTTTGCAGCAGAAAAACCTTCCCAGACCTTGATTCTGCTTCCCATCCGGC